TGAACTGAATGATAAACAGAAAATGGATTAAAAGCACAAGTTTAACTCAATAACATAACCAAATCATAAGCTAGAGGGGTACAAACTGATATACAATTATGAACTGATTAGGAACAGGCTCCACATGTTTAACTGAAAATGTGCGCACACTAGTTGTCACTAAGATGGGAAGCCGTAGAGCTGTTGAATTGGACGCATGCTGTCACGACCCGATTAGAAAATAAGGAATATTCCCGAACCATGGTGTGAGTCATACCATAGTCATAAGAATAAAATCCTACAACCATGATATGATGAAAAATAGAGCCACAAATAATTACAAATTTACTTAACATTACAAAATCAGAGTCGCAGTAGCTTGTAGTTAACTAAACACTAGGATCTTTAACAAACGGTTGACTACTTACAAATATTAATTACACAAATCAACAATAAAAGCCCAGCAGCTTAGTTGAACCCGCTTCCTCAAATTTCTTCTTTAATCCTGCACAATCCATTAGGGTATGAGCATTCTAATGCCCAGTAGAGTACCGTTAAACCCCTCAAAGTCAGCTATCACAATTAATCAAAGTGTCATACATCAAGCAACACAAGGTATATGATAATTATGTAATCAGACCAGATAAATAAATTTACATATGCGATGATGTCATAAACTCACTCCCTTCTAATCCCACTAATTCATATCCTAGGGCAACAAGCCTGCATGTCCCATACCATGCGTTTTACCACTGTCTATGGCTCCGAATACCCTAAAATATGAACTAGCGCCCATCCAGAATTTGGAGTAACTATCATGAAGAAACCATAGAGTTTTGAGCTTTTGAAATGAGTGTTTTGGACTGAAAACGAGGGAAGGACCTAAGGTTGAAGACTATAAACAAGTTCCACTCTAAACTTTCCCAAGGTGGCTAGAGAAGTCCGATCAATCTGCAATTTTGATATGTTATAATAGACAGCATTTCAAACAACTTTGATGAAGGAACCAAAGTCATTTGAGTACAGGAAATCACAGAAATATATCTCAAACGACACACACACACACTCCAAACACTACTGTATTTCTGATGCATATGTAGTGCAGCACAACCATCATTTATTTCTGCTGAATAATGCCACAGATAATAACAATAATATATCAGGCTTAATCACATAAATAATAATATTCACAAAACATCAAATAATATCCATGGAAAAAATCAATAATAATATTTACATAACATCAAATAATATTCACGGAAAAACATCAATAATAACATTCACGTAACATCAAATAATATTCATCGAGCAAAGCAACAATAATATTCATATTTATAATACTATATATAAGCACCAAGATTAGAAGTGACATAGCCCAATCATTGGGAAATCAGGAAACCCTACCTCAAGTCCAGCTAGCTTAAAACCTTGTGCGGTTTCGTTCTCGAAAGTACATAGAGTAGAACACCTAGTTAAGATAATTTACTGATTAAAATTCATTGGAAATAAGGAAACAAAGTTGAGTGTCCTACTAGCGCACGTAGACCTAAAATCCCAAAATACACTTGACAAGTTGTTTGACCCGATTGTTA